CATTTATTTCACTTCAGCTAAAAAGCAAGGTGTTGATTTTTTTTTTTTAATTTGCAGAATACGTATCCCTAGAAGAATTTCATCTATTCAAGGTCTATGTGTTTTTTCCTCTAACTGTAGAGCACATGTTCTCTAATTAAATAGGAAGAGTGAGAACTGCTGGACTGGATAAAAATTAATAGATTTTACATTTTCATTAGCAATTCTGCTAGCACTATAAAAAGGAGAAATAGTATTAGAGATGTCATCTTAACCACTGCTGCTGCTATTATCAAACAAGACAATGGGAGTACTCTGACCTGTAGAGGGCTGCACTCTGATGTGCTAACTTTTTAGAAATAATTAAGATTTTAAAATAAAAGCTTTCACAATATATATTGTATCTTATTTTTACAGTATTTTTAGTACAAAAATGTTACATTTCAATTGTTCATTTCACTGTGGTTAAAATGTATACTTGAATATTAATAGATTAGAAATCTAGATTGAAGTATTTTGTTTTATAAATATTTATTGTTAAAATTTAAGGATAGTTATTCTAAAAATTTTCAAATGTCCTTTTAAAAAGAAAATTAAATGCAGTGTCCAGTTCGCTTTCTATTGTATAATGTTCAAAGGACAGATTTATTACCTGAACAGCAGTAGCCATGGTACTTGATTTTTACATTTTATACAACGGCAAATTTGAACAAAACTAGCTAAAGCAAAATTTTTTAAACTAAATTTCTTTCCTAAGTTGTTCTTTAGGGAAACAAATTAAGGGTACTCCCTAGCATGTCAGTTTTGTTTTATTAGTGATTTCTTTTATTGATACCAACTGTTACACAGTGTGTCTGCCAAGTGTCTGGGCCAGTTGCCAGTACTTTCAGTACTAGTAGTCAGCACTTTAAAAAAAAAAAATTAAGACTTTTTTATTAAGAGCAGTTTTAGCTTCACTGCAGAAGTCAGTACTTTGCATGCCTAATTTACTAGAATTCACTTTGTCCCCAAATACATATTTTTTGGTTCTGAACATATATATGGTAGATTTTACTTTTGAGGCACACTGTGGATAATAATGATTTGATTCCAAAAAATAGGTTTTATTAAAAGAGGAGAGAAAAACATGGGTATTTATATAATAAAAGAGAAGAAAGTAGATATAAAAACAGGAATTGCTGTGTGAAAGGAGCCATTCTTATCATAGTAAGCAAATGGAGAGATACATTAGGTAGGGGACTGAGCTCCAACACATCCTTTTCTTCACTCTGAGTTCCTTCTTAATATTGGCTTTAGCTATTTGCATATGTTTTCTTGAATTATTTGTGTTTGCCACCTAAATAAACATTGTGTCTAAACAGCTTACCGCTCTAATTGGAGTGTTTAAGTCTTGGTGCTGTCATTTGCATAACAATTTTTAGTGACATAATCCATGGAGAATGCTTTACAGAGTTTCTTGATTTTTTTTGTCTTTGAATCACTGACAGCATGAGTTCTATTAAAGAAAACCGTAGCATGAGATGAGATGAATTCACCTTAACTTCTCCTGGGTTTTCATTGCTGCTTGGCCCTCCTTTTCTTTATTCCTAGTGGATTCCCTGTTATACCCTGCACCACTGTTGGTAGAAATTTTTACCATTTTGCTCAAGGAGCCAAGCCAGCTCTCTTTTTCAACTCTCTCCAGATGGCTCATCCTCCCTAAAAAGAAAACCAACATGCACTGTTTTTGTCTTTTAACATTTTCTTCAAGCACCTGTCTCCAAACCTGTCTTCCAGGCTGAGAAAGCATGTTAGACCCCACCTGTGTTTTCATTCTTTTCCCCTGCTCTCCTCTTCTCTACTTGCAGCTCCAGTTATCTTCTCTTTCTTATCTTTTTGCGCTTTAATTTTGCCATTTTTTCCCTCCTATATACGAATACATTTTTCAAGTGAGTTGGCTGTACTCAGTTTCCTTACCTTGCTCATCCCCTAGCTTTCTACTTGGACTTGAGTTCCCATAACTCTGTGGAAAGGGACCTCTTGAAAGACATTATTTAAAAAGTTTCTTAAAGCAAAACTCTTCTACTTGTGTCTATCACTGTAAACCTGGCAGTGTGCATTATTTGGGGAAGACGTTCCATAGCTTTCATCAGCTTAAGGTCTTCACTCAAACCACACACAGTGTTTATTCCTTTTTCCTTGTGACACAGATGTCATAAGTCTTAATCTTTTCAGATGTCTTAATGCCTTAATCTATTCTTCTTTCCTAAATAGCTTCATCTTTAGACCTAATATCCCTGTATCCCTCAACTCTTCCTCACATAACATGAAGTCTAGACCCTCCAACAATCCAATCAGGCCCTGGTTTCCTTTATTCAGATAGTTCTAATTTGTCGGTATGCCCCATAAAATGTGACATCCAGAATTGGACACTTTTTAGTGAATCATGTAGATGATAATGAGCTAAAACCTTCCTTTTTCTGGAAACTATGTTAATATAGGCTAATATTAATGTTCATGATTTCCTCTCTGCCTGTGAGATACACGTGCATGCACACACGTACACACACAGAAACACACACATATACTGCTGAGAGTTTTAGTCCTGATTAATAACTATAATTAATGCTATATGATCTAGGGATTCCTCTGTACCATTCTTGTAAAACATTATTAAAAATCAAAAATACTCATACACATATTAAACAAATATATAGTTACTCAACAGATGTCATGCTATGGTTTCTTTCATATTTTATTGCTTTTTACAAAACAAGATAGAAATTCGGATGGTGGCCAGCTTGCTTATTGAAGACAATTATAATCCGGTCCCATGTCCTTTTCTGTTTTGTCATCCCTACTCTTCACTCTGAAAGCCCTGCTAAAGTAATCTTCCTTTCCAAAGGAATCCCGGGCTTGAAACTGATGCTGTCTTTCCTCAAAACCAGCAGTGTTGGCTGATTTCAAGCCTGTGTAGCCGGTTTTCAGGACTGGGTTGAAAACCATCTGCTTACTCCTCTGCATCTGATTGATTTTGGAGAACTCAAGTGAGGTTACATATTAAATTCTCAAACATGTATTCCGTTAAAAAAGGAAATGACCAACAATTGTATGATGCTTGCATAAGGCAAATGCCAGTGTTAATTTACAACTGAGGAGCATCAAACCATATTAACAATGGCATATATCATATAATTAGAGAATTACATGCTATTTAACAGATCACATTAGTGTTTTTTTTTACATTTTGTAAATTTTTAAAAAGTAAGTTAGAATTAGTTTTGTGTCTCTTAAATACTGATTTACAAGTAAGCATGGATAAAGAACCTATTAATTACTACTTAATTGACATTCCTTTGTCTTTGAATCACTTGGATTAAAATTAAGCACTGGTAATACTTCTAATATGTTGTTATGCTTTTTAAATGGAGGAGTTTTAGAAAAAAAATCAAAACCTGGTTTAATTTTGCAGAGTAGATCAATTAAATATACAGTCAACTCTCGATTGTTCAAACGAATGGAGGAAAGGATGGAACAAGCATTCCTGTTTCTCTCGTTCCTGCCCCCTCAGACAATTACTGAGCGCCTCATTCCAAACAAGTTCTTTGGCTTTTCATCTTGATCGTGTTCCGTGCTCTAGCCTTGTATCCAGGGTGCAGTCTGAAATATGGCTTACCACTGAGTTGGCAAAGTTTCACGTTCTCACATTCTGCTCTTTATATGCTTTTTAAAATCAGTGCTTTAGGATTGTTTTTATACTTTTCAAATTCTTATGAAAATCTGATAACATTGCTAATAGCCTGTTATCCTCATAAAATTAGTTTTATATAAAAACCTTACCTTTGAATTACATTTTATAGATTATTAGAACCTTTCAAAAGCATAACCTCATGGTACCAAATTGCTTAAAAAATGTAATATAAAAAATTTATGAGAGTTTTTATAAAAATTCTTCCAATTTTTTGAATTCCTAATGTATGCAATATTTCTGATCATTATGTAAGTGTTTGTAAAGGGAAGAAATGCGGAAGGAATTTATGTGTGAAAACAGTATGTTGTGTGTATATAATATGTCATTTTCTCTACCAATTAACTGCACACATTGTGCTATTATCCAGACATGAGCATTCATGGGAATGCATGTATCTGGATAACTGTGAGTTGAAATAAACACACCTGCTTTTATTTCAATAACTGCACATTCAAATCCACATAAGGCATTTATTTGAATGTGACCTTCATATACATGAGAGAACATTGGTTTCAGTGTTTGATTTTTTTGTTGCTATTTTGTTGTTGGTGGTTTAAATCTAAAGTAGGGTACAACCTTACGGGTAATGCTTCTCTGGAAAACTTTGCATGCAGAGAAAAGGAAATTCAAAGATAAACCCTATGAAAAACACTGAAATTGTTTTGTCTTATTATGTTTAACCTCAGTGTGCATTGGAGCTAAATTCTTACAGAATGTATTGATAGCAGTGCTTGAAGCCAAAGAGTATACAATCCATAAACCAGTCTGGAACTCTGCTCCTTTTACTTTAAGTAAATTTAATGATTATTCTTTCCAGAAAAAACCTGTTAGTCTTTGATTTGGAGAATGCTTTTTTCTCAAGAAGCTATTTCCTTGAAAAGTGTGTTAGAATATGTGTCTGAGCTTTAGAAATCATGTTTTCCATTAGGCAATTGAAGTGTTTGTTGTAAGGCTTATTCTTAAAGTCTGTGTAATTGTTCTTCCCCACTCCCCCCACCCCCAATTTAGGTCATATTTCTGGATAGTTAGTTTTAACTGACCTGAGCCAGAAAATTGAATTAGGATGTCCTTAGAAGTCTTAACTTTGAATTTCCTACTTTTCATTGCATGTAAACTATCAACCACAAATAACAGTTTCAGTTCAAGTTCTAGCTTGTATTTTGCATGTTAAAGCTATAAACAGTCTATTAATGCTGGAAAGAATCTATAGCTATTGTTCTGCTGTTGCCTAATTGTTAAATTTACAAAGGAAGACTGGTTTTATTTATGTAGACTTGTCTTTCTGTCTTAGGGAGTGAACTACTTTATGTCCAAGGGCATCCTAGATGATTCACCAAAGGAAATAGCAAAGTTTATCTTCTGTACAAGAACACTAAATTGGAAAAAACTCAGAATCTATCTTGATGAAAGGTAAAAAAAAATTAATTTTTCATCAGACATGAGTTAAATACTGCTTTTAATGAGTTAAGTTTTACCTTAAAAACTGTACTACGTAGCATTCATCTAGTTGCAAAATTGAGTGAAGACAGGAAAAAGATTCCTATACCTTGCAAATCATTTCTCTTGCGAGCTGATGAGGAATTTACCATTGTAAAGGTAAAAAAAAAAAGCCCAAGCACAGACGCAAAATGGAAGTCCAGCATCTTTGTGGTAGCAGACCAAAACTAGACATAAAATCTAAGTGTTTGGTAACTAAAAGTTCTGAATTTTGAAATTGTCCATATACAAATCAAATGGACAAATAGTACTCATACACACAAACCCTATAAGGTGTGTATATTTGCATCATACTACGCAAAAGTGTCATGTAAAAGCTTGAAAATTCCGGAAGTGTGATTTAATAGCGTGCTTTACAGAGACAGTGCCTCATATGCTGTTTTGACTTGATAGTCATTCATTTGTACTCTTGAATTCTGGGTATCAACAGACAGAAAAATATTGTGAAAATATTTTGATGTGACATCACCGAACTACCATTTTAAAAATTATAGATCTCATAGAAATCTAAAGAACGGCTCAAAAATGTGTTTGTCTTTTCATTGTAATTCTCTTTTTTTTTTATTTCTCAGGATTTTTCAACAACAATTTGTATTTATTATATTCCAGGAACTTTGCTAGAAGTAGCAGTATGCAGTTGATTAAAATATAATCCCTGTCCTTGAGGCGTTTATAGTTCAGCATATCGGTCATTGAAAGAAATTTCTTACGTAAAGACGGTGTCATTAACTCTTTTTGTCCTTAAATGCTAGGTACCTAGGGATCAGCAGTTTTTCTTTAAAGAACCAGATATTTCTGTGAATATTTTAGGCTTTGAAGGACATATGCTCTCTATTGCAGCTACTTATAACACATGCCATTGTGTCATGAAAGCAGACATAGACAATAAGTAAACAAGTGAGTATAGCTGTGTTCTAGTAAAACTTTATTTATAAAAACAGGCAGTGGGCTGTAGTATTTGGCCCACTAGCTGTAGTTTGCCTATCCCTGCCATAAGCAACTGGTAGAAATTAAGATTTCTATAATCATGGTCATATAATCACAGTTGAGTTCAGTAAGGATTGAAGCATATTATAACAAAGTGTGACTATTAGAACGCTATTGATAAAAAACAAGTATATATGCACATATGTACACAAATATTTATAAAATTGTAAACAACCTAAATCTATATCATTAGAATTCTTATATCCATAAGATACGCTACTGTGGAGCCATTTAAATGAAAGAGTTAGATCTTTGTGTAAAGACACAGAAAGCTGCTCACAATACACTATATGAAACAAGCAAAAGCAAATTCTAGAACAATATAGGGTATATGTAGACACTTAAAAAAAGTCTACATAAACAATTGTTACCTCTGGTGATGTGGATTGGTATGGAAAGTGAAGATTCTCCTTATTTTCATAATTAAAAAAATAAAGAATTCTGTTTGTCATTTGGATTTAGCCAAGAAGATACTTGAAAAAAGTTACCATTTTTAATATTGAAAAATTCATTTTATAGTTAGAATTTCTAGTTTCACCTTGTTTTGTTATTCTATTCATGAAGATTTTTAAATTGCTTAATTTTATAAATAATCATACTTTGATGTTTTAAAATTTTAAGACACATATACTTTATAGGATTGCTGATGTGGTAATCAACAAAGTATTTTCATCCAAAAAATGAATAATCTGATTTTTCCCATCATTTTTTTAATAGAGAAAAGTTAACTAAAACTGTACCTTTTTCTTTTTCTACTAGGAGAGATGTCTTGGATGACCTTGTAACACTGCATAATTTTAGAAATCAGTTCTTGCCCAATGCACTGAGAGAATTTTTTCGTCACATCCATGCCCCTGAAGAGCGCGGAGAGTATCTTGAAACACTTATAACAAAGTTCTCACATAGATTCTGTGCTTGTAACCCTGATTTAATGAGGGAGCTTGGCCTTAGTCCTGGTAAGAATGTATATAGTGAATTCCTTCCTTTTCCCATTCCCATCTCTAGGTAAAAATAGTAGTAGATGAGATATTTTTCTCACTATGGGGAAAAATGCTTCCTGTAGTTACAAATACTTGTCTTATTGCTTCTAGCAATAACTAGGTTGTCATAGCTATTATTTACATGTAGTAAATATACTGTTTTAGGAGGAAAGTTAGACTTAGGTATATAAATTCTTTAAAATTCTTGTTTAAGCATTGGATATTTTTACTAGTCTAATCAAAAACTTGAGAGATTATTTTTAAAGCTTTTAATAATACACATATTACATAGGTAACACCTAGAATTTTTCTACTAAAATTTGTTTTTAATACAACTAGTTTTCACTGTTTGTGTGTATGTGTATATGGGCATGGTATAGCCTGAGTCACCTATGTATTTTTTTCATGTGATATGGATTTATTTCTCTCTTCATATCAAAAAATCTTGTTGTGCTTCTCTTACTACAGAGATTGCAAAGCCTTTTCCTATCATATGAAATTTGTTGAGCATGCTTGTGCAAGACAATCTTTATTAAGACTGCAATATTCTGAAAAATAAACACCATAGTAGTAGCAAGTACTAGTAGCAAGTATCATGAGGTTTCTTACTGTTTTAACAGTAAACATCAACTATAGCCCTGAACAATATAAAGAAGAAAGTTTTTGTTGCGTGGGCTCAAGTTTAGCAATTTTTTCCCTAAAGATTTACTTTTGAGATTAATATGTAAATTCCATAGACCTTTTAAATACATATCTTAAATGACAAGGGTAATTTAATAAGCTTGTGAGATGTTTACGTTTTATTTTCTAGTACCAAGTTAATACATTTTATTGTCATTAAAAATGCTTTCTAATTAAATTAGGTTTTTGTAAAAGCGTTTGAAAATAAACATCCGACTTTTTTTTTTTTTTTGCCGTACGCGGGCCTCTCACTGTTGTGGCCTCTCCCGTTGAGGAGCACAGGCTCCGGACGTGCAGGCTCAGTGGCCATGGCTCACGGGCCCAGCCGCTCCGCAGCATGTGGGATCTTCCCGGACTGGGACACGAACCCGCGTCCCCTGCATCGGCAGGCGGACTCTCAACCACTGTGCCACCAGGGAAGCCCCCCGACTTTTTTTTTAATGGGAAGATATACTGACAGTACAAATGTATTTAATGGGTAGTTGAATGGGAATATCACATTTGAAAGCAAGAGAAATAAAGCCAATTCTGAAATTTTTAAATTTAGAATGACTTTTTACTATAAACTCCTAAACTATTTGAAGAAAATGCTCACTGAATTGGTGTTCAGTTAGGATGATCGACATCCCTGTTTGCCCAGGAGAGGAGTTTCCTAGGACACAGGACTTTCATCACCAAACTGGGGAAGGCCCAGGCGATTATGTTTAATTATAATCTAATCTTGAGCTTTAGAAATTATGAACAGTTTTGCCTTTGAGACCACAGTTTAAAAACCAGCCAGTAATTCAAGGTGTTTCTTTTTCCTTCCAGATGCTGTCTATGTACTGTGCTACTCTTTGATTCTACTTTCCATTGACCTCACTAGCCCTCATGTGAAGAATAAAATGTCAAAAAGAGAATTTATTCGAAATACCCGCCGTGCTGCTCAGAACATTAGTGAAGATTTTGTGGGGCACCTTTATGACAACATCTACCTTATTGGCCATGTGGCTGCATAAGAGCACAATTGCTAGGACTTTAACCTTTAACTTCAAACTAAAACTACCCAAGGACTTATTTAGAGGATATGGGGGTTACATTAGTGCTGGTCATTCTAGCCTCTGTATACAATCAAGCTTGAGTGTACAACCTTTTTTTCTTTTACTCTTTTCTTTTTTAGTAATTTCCTTGGGGAACTAAAGAATTTTGCAGAATTTTTCTTAATTTTGCTTATCATGTTTTGCACAAAGCAGAGCCATTGTCTGACACAGCTGTTTAAGAATGTTAAACTGACATTATACTCTAAAAAAGATGGTATATTTGTGCATTAGATTTGCCTGAAAAACTTTATTCATTTCCATTCTTTTTTAAAATACCATGTAATGTGTACATATTTAACTAAAAAGATTTATAATCATAATTATTTTATTGTAAAGATTTTAACTAAAGCCTTTCCTTTTTCTCTCAAACTGAGTTCTGAAATTTATTTGATTCTGATATGAAATTATTACTGTCTTCATAAAAGTTGGATCTGACTTCAGTAGAAAGCAATACCAGCTTCTCTTTCCTTTGAACTTTGAAAAGAGTATTGATTTGTTACTATGCAAAACAGGCACTTATTTTTATAACAGAAATTAATCACTTCATTTTTTAAATTTCTGCGTTAGTTAAGTCTCAAGTCCTTTAAACCATAGCAAAACACGTTAAAATCTGTTTCCACACATAAGAACAAAATGTCATTAGAACTTATATCTGAAGTAGTCAAACCTTACTATTCTCCTAATTTTTTTTTTATAAATTTATTTATTTTATTTATTTATTTTTGGCTGTGTTGGGTCTTCGTTGCTGTGCACAGGATTTCTCCAATTGAGGTGAGCGGGGGCTACTCTTCCTTGTGGTGCGCGGGCTTCTCATTGTGGTGGCCTCTCGTTGCGGAGCACGGGCTCTAGGCACACGGGCTTCAGTAGTTGCAGCATGCGGTCTCAGTAGTTGTGGCTCGTGGGCTCTAGAGCACAGGCTCAGTAGTTGTGGCACATGGGCTTAGTTGCTCTGCGGCACGTGGGATCTTCCCGGACCAAGGCTCGAACCCGCATCCCCTGTATTGGCAGGGGGATGCTTAACCACCGCACCACTAGGGAGGCCCTCTCCTAATCTTGATGATTTCTGTTCAGAATTAGTTGGGAAAGGAATATTGTGAATGATGGTAAACAGTCTTTATTCATTCATTCAGTATATATTTATCAAGGGCCTTCCATGTGCTAAGCATTGTGCCAGGTACTAGTGATACCTGGACATGGACTCTGCCTTCACAGCAGTTACATGATTGGATAATGAGAGGAAAACTAGCACTTAATGGAGAGCAAACGTGTGATGTATATCTTAACAGCTATTTAATCATTAAAACACTTAACATTGGAATGATAAAGAACAATGTAGGGCTTCCCTGGTGGCGCAGTGGTTGAGAGTCCGCCTGCCAATGCAGGGGACACGGGTTCGTGCCCCGGTCCGGGAAGATCCCTCTTGCCGCGGAGCGGCTGGGCCCGTGAGCCATGGCCGCTGAGCCTGCGCGTCCGGAGCCTGTGCTCCGCAACGGGAGAGGCCACAACAGTGAGTAGTCCTGACTTCCAGATCTAGCCCTGATATTATAACTGAACGATGTACTACAGAATTTTCAAAGACAAAACATAAGATAACCAAAATAACTTTTGAAAATCAAAGGGAATTTCAGACTGGTAGTAAACAATTTCTAAGATTCTGAAGCAGATATCTAAATATATTTCACATGTGCATAATTTTGAATTCTATGACAAAATAATTCTAATAAGTGTACTAATCAGTGTTCATAAATGCATACACCTGTGTAAACCAAACCCATATCAAGATATGCAACCTTACACAATGTATATGCAGTTAACACTGTATCCCTTAATATAAAATATAAACTTTGTAACCATAGAGGTGTATTTACCCTGTCGGTTATCTTACAGTTGTCATCTGTCTTACATATAGCGTATGTTATAAACTCCACAATATAATGGTATAATTTGCTGTGGACAGTCATATATATTTTAAATAAGAAAAAGAGCTGTTTTGCATTTACCCACATTATCATTATATTTGAGGTGGCTCTTAGAGGATCAGTAGGGAGGGTTTAGAGAAAGTCTTTCAATGTCTCATTTCTCACTACAAAATTAAGTGTAGCCTCCCTAGTGTGGCATGTAAGACCCTTCACGATCTGGCCTCTGCTTACCTTTTTTTCTTTTTTTTTTTGCGGTACGCGGGCCTCTCACTGTTGCGGCCTCTCCCGTTGCGGAGTACAGGCTCCGGACGCGCAGGCTCAGCGGCCATGGCTCACGGGCCCAGCCGCTCCGCGGCATGTGGGATCTTCCCGGACCGGGGCACGAACCTGCGTCCCCTGCATCGGCAGGCGGACTCTCAACCACTGCGCCACCAGGGAAGCCCATGGCCTCTGCTTACCTTTAAAGCCTCATCTCCAGCAACATTCCTCAAATGTGGGGATCTTCCCGGACCGGGGCACGAACCCGTGTCCCCTGCATCAGCAGGCGGACTCACAACCACTGCGCCACCAGGGAAGCCCATGGCCTCTGCTTACCTTTAAAGCCTCATCTCCAGCAACATTCCTCAAATGTGGTCTGGTCTGTCTTTGCCTTTTACAAGCTGTTCTTTCTGTAGCATCCTCCTCTCCCTCCTCTATCTAAAGTCCCCCTGGTGGCACAGTGGTTAAGACTCGCGCTCCCAATGCAGGGGGCCCAGGTTCGATCCCTGGCCAGGGAACTAGATCCCACAATGCATGCCACAGCTAAGAGTTTGCATGCCACAACTAAGGAGGCGGCGAACTGCAACCAAGGAGCCCACCTGCCTCAGCTAAGACCCGGTGGAACCAAGTAAATATTTAAAGTCCCCCAACTTATCACCTAAGATCCACCTCAAATCTAATTTCTTGGTCAAAGCTATCAAAGACTGTCTCTATCACACATACTACTGGTGTTAATTAATTTTCTACATGTCCAACTTCTTTATCAAAATGTGATCTTCTTAAGGTCAAGGATTGCAGCCTGTCAGATTCTATTGTAAGGCCTGAACTAGGCAAGTGGCAGAGGATTTACAGAGGAGGAATGAATTTTTAAAAACAACTGAAAATTGATAGGATTTAGTGATTTGGGGGAAGGGTTTCTAATATGAGGATCTGGTTGTCCTATCATCAAAGGTAGCTACTAGGGGAAGCAACCAATGGGATGAAATAGAAAAGATGATGTTTCCAATTTTTGGATGTTTTGAATTTGAAAGAATCAATAGAACATTGCAGGTACAGAATAAGACTAGATATGTAAGTTTGGGGGTCATTATACGAGGTAAAGCATGGGAAAAGACACCTCCTCTAGGGAATATGTTGAGTAAAAAGAAATACTTGGGAAACACAGCATTTCAGGTTTTGTAGAGAAAAAGAAGAAAGAAAATGAGTGCTCTTTAAAACTGTAGAAGGGGGCTTCCCTGGTGGCACAGTGGTTGAGAGTCCGCCTGCCGATGCAGGGGACGCGGGTTCGTGCCCCGGTCCGGGAGGATACCACGTGCCGCGGAGCGGCTGGGCCCGTGAGCCATGGCCGCTGAGCCTGCGCGTCCGGAGCCTGTGCTCCGCAACGGGAGAGGCCACAACAGTGAGAGGCCCCCGTACCGCAAAAAAAAACAAAAAATAAACAAAAAAAACTGTAGAAGGACCAGAGAAGAATGGCATCCCGAGAGCTAGGGAAGGGGAGTTTCAAGAAGGACGCTGAGCTTTGCATGTGCTGCAGCCCAAGTAGATTGTTCCTTTCTCATCTACACTCAGGCCTTTTCGAGAGTCTACCTTTTCCACTTGGGGCTGAGTTCTTTGAGGCTAGAAAATCATAGTAGCGCTAATGGCTTTTATATTGTCTCTGCCCAAATACCTCCTTATTCAGTGTGTAATCTGAGCTCTGCAGAAACCCACAAGAGAACTTATGGTCCACTGCAACTCAGACCTGTCTACACCTTCCTTCCCGGTAAGGGCCATGTTGTTTCAAGCCCAGAACACACCATACCAACTGCATACTGCTAGTGCATCCTTTCTATACACCATCATTACTTATGTTTTTAAAATACAGTACAGATTATATTTTTTTAAGAAAAGGAAAAGAGAAAATGCTCGAAAACTTTTACGAGTCCTCCAGATTGATCATCAACAGGATTTTTTCTAAGCGCACTCTGTTCAAACTAACACTCTCGAATCTCATCTGTGGTGCTTTCTCTCTGGAAAGCTTGTAACCCCTCTGCCGCTTTGCCTGTTGAAATGTTATTTGTCCTTCAAAGTCCCCTCAGACTCTTTCCCTTCCAGGGCAATTTTCTCAAATCTTGCAGGTGGAAATTTTATTCTTCTTATGTCTCCCTCAGTACCTAACACAGACCTTGGCCCAAAGCAGTTTCTCAGTAAACCTAACTGAATTATTTTAGCCCTGGTTTAGTTTCTAATATATAAGTATATAGAAAGATGACTTTACTATTTGCATTTCAAAAAAATATAACCAGACCTTTCTGGTGTACACAATTTACAAATCAGAAAGTTTAGAGTAAACTCTTAAAAAAACGAATACAGATTCAACCTATGTATTGTTCTGGATGTAAATTCATTTCTCTGGGTCTTCTAATTTCAAATATTTGCATAAATTACTGCTACTTTGATTGTCTTTTTTTTAATTTTGAGAGTTTAAGCCATTGATCTTGTTACTTCTCTAAACTGATCTCTTACATGATTGGCAATATTATTAATATGGTGCTCAATGAGAGTTAGCTTGTTCAGAAGTCTATATATTTAAAATAATAACCCATTTATTCTAATTGGAGTCTTTTCCTGTGTTTAAAGTGAACTTTTTCTTTAATATCGCTATTAATAGCTCAACTGCCTACAGCTGTTTACAAGCATTTGTAAGTGAATATGTCCACTTTGGGAAGCCATCCTAAGGAAATAATCCCAAATAGAGGAAAGACAGTACGTACACTCTTAGTCACGTCATTGTTTTTAATTTCAAAAAAAGAAAAAGTTAGAAACCACCGGAATGCCCCAAACCTGGGGCTATTCTAAAAAATAACCAATGTTTGAGTACACACAGGGTACCAGACAGCATGCTAAGTACTGGTCAAGTAGACCAGAACGCATCCTTATGACCTGTTATTATGATGCCATGATGTTTATGAATAATGTGAGTTAACAGTTATAAATAATGATAAATATTAAAAAGAAGATTAAATTGCCTATATACACACATTATGGTTACTATGTAAAACAAAGCAAAAACCTATGAATGGAAAGAACAGACTGGGATACAATATACCAAGATATTATGGATAATGGATTTTTTCTCTTATTTCTTCTTTCAAATGTTATTAAGGATGATGTATTTTAGATAGAACAAAATAAATTCATTGACGTATTCAG